CGGAGGGGACAGAGCCCCGGGGAGCGGAGGGGACAGCGCCATCGAGGACAGAGCCCGGAGAGGAGCAAGGACGGGCGGTCCCAGAGGGAGCAGAGCCCGAAGAGGCTGTCGCGACAGCCCCGTCCGGGACAGATCCCGAGGAAGCCCCGACGGGGACAGAGCACGAAGAGGCCGCAGTGACAGCCCCAGCGGGGACAGTCCCCGAGGATGAAGAGCGGGAGGAAGCCCCGGCTGGGACAGTCCCCGAAAATGCGATGCAGGAGGCAGCCCCGGCTGGGACAGTCCCACAGGAGGCGCTGGGGACAGACCCCGAGGATGCTGGGCAGGAGGCAGCCCCGGCTGCTGTGCCAGCCCTGCAGGATGAGCTGCAGGCTCGGGGGACAGCCCCGGCTGCTGTGCCAGTCCCCGAAGAGGCGCTGGGGACAGTCCCGAGGGATGAGCTGCAGGAGGCAGCCCCGGCAGGGACGGTCCCCGAGGAGGTTTTGGGGACAATCCCCAAGGATGCAGTGCGAGAGGCAGCTCCAGCAGGGACAGTGCCCGAGGAAGTTTTAGGGACAATTCCCAAGGATGCGGTGCGAGAGGCAGCTCCAGCAGGGACAGTGCCCGAGGAGGTTTTAGGGACAATCCCCAAGGATGCGGTGCAGGAGGCAGCTCCAGCAGGGACAGTCCCCGAGGAGGTTTTAGGGACAATCCCCAAGGATGCGGTGCAGGAGGCGGTCCCGGATGATGTGACAGTCCCCGAGAAGGTTTTGGGGACAATCCCCAAGGATGCGGTGCGAGAGGCAGCTCCAGCAGGGACAATCCCCGAGGAGGTTTTGGGGACTATCCCCAAGGATGCGGTGCAGGAGGCAGCCCCGGCTGATGTGACAGTCCCCGAGAATGCGGTGCAGGAGGCGGTCCCGGCTGATGTGACAGTCCCCGAGAAGGTTTTGGGGATAATCCCCAGGGATGCGGTGCGGGAGGCGGTCCCGGATGATGTGACAGTCCCCGAGGAGGGTTTGGGGACAGCCCCCGAGGATGCGCTGCAGGCGGAGCGGGGACCGCCAGCCCTGGCGGGGACAGGAGCCCCGGAGCCAGCGGCCAGCGGGTCCCCGAGCCCCGGGAGCGGCCAGGACCGGAGCCTGAACGGGGAGCGGGGCCGGGAGCAGCGCCGGGAGGACGGGACGGGCTCACCGGGCGCCACGGAGGAAGAGGAGGAGGAGGAGGAGAAGCAGGACCACGACATCTCCCTCTTCGTCAAGGTAAGGCTGAGGGGCTGCCGGGGATGGCTGTGGTGAGGAAATTAAACGTGGCAGGCGAAGGGCCAGCCTGGCTAAGGTGGTTTGGTTATTAACACCCAGTGTTGGGAAGGATGGATAAATACAATTATTCATAATAATACAGCCAGGATGAAAACAATCCTCCGTACTGGCTGGATAATACCCTTGCCTACAGATAAGTCCAAAAGTCAAATGGACTGTTCTATCTCAACCCCCAAAATGTACGGTTCACCCTACACCTGTAACCCACCCCTAAAACATCAAGTGTCTATAACCCCATTGGCCCAAGTCTTGAAGCCCCCCGAGGGGCCGGACGCCCCCTTGGAACTTCCCCTTCTCTTGGAATTTCCCCTTCTATTGGAATTTCCCCTTCTCTTGGAATTTCCCCTTCTCTTGGAACTTCCTCTCTCTTGGATCTTCCCCCCTTTTAGGACCTCCACCCTCTCCTGGAGCATCCTCTTGTCTCTCCCCTGTCCCATCTCCTCAAGCCTCCTCCAAGCAGGACCTTTCTCCATCCCTAAAAAACCTGATACCCCAAGAGCAAACTCCAGAGATCTCTCGTCTCCATCCACCCAAACCATCCTGGAGCCCAGCTCTCCCTACAGCCCAACACAAACTTGCCTCTTGCCTCCTCGTTCCTTCAGCAATCGCTGGCACGGGGAGTTCTCCGTGGATTTTCAGATCTCCAAAATTCAGGGAGAGGGGCTGAGCAGGAAGAACCCGGGAAATGGAATTTCAAATGCGGTGCTGGGGTTTTCTAATGTGAATTATGGGTGACGTTTGGAGAACCGTCCCAAATTTTGGCAAGGCTGAATTCACAGTCAGTAAAGAGCAGCCCTTGGAATTGTCCAGTTGGTTTGAAGGGAAGAGTTGGGTTACAGGGAAATGGGAGGGGGAAAAAAAGGGGTGGTGGAGGAGAAACTAAAACAAATTTCTGGTATTTTATTGAGTAGAGCTTTAGACCTTAATATTCTGTGCCTGGGTTCCCACCAAAATCCCTGGGATTGGCGTGGGAACAGCAGCCATCCACAGAGTCTTTATAAATGGGGATTTTTGGTGTGTAGGAAGCATCTGGAGGTGATTTATTCCCTTTTCTCTGACCCCTCTAGACTAAAATGTGGAGCAGGGTGGGATAAACATAAAGCTAAGGAAATAAACCTGGGGAAGCAGAAGGCATTTGGGACATTCTCCTCCACAAACCATCCCATCCTGTACCTCCTGAGCTGGCTGGGGCTGCTTCTGCCAGCCAGAATTCACATTGAAATAAAAATAAAAATAAAAATAAAAATAATTAAAATCAAATTAAAATTAAAATCAAATTAAAATTAAAATTAAAATTAAAACTAAAATTAAAATTAAAATTAAAATAGAAACTAAAATTAAAACGAAAATCAAAATTAAAATGTGATACTTTCCACTTTATGGGAGGAAAACATGGCCAAAATGAGAGAGCAGCCTATAGAATAAGAGCATTTTTTGTGACTCTGTGGCCCCCAAATATTAGGATTAAACATGGGCTTTGAAAATATTTGTGAATTAATAAAGGCACAAGGAGAAAGGAGGAGCATTTTTGTGATGGGCTTAATATTGGTAATTTAAGAACGCCTAGAAAACAATCCAGCTGCTTTTCTAATTATTTCTGTATTACAAAACTTGAGTATTTTACCTCAGCTGGAGCTGCATTTTTGTAGCTGGGATTAGATTAGTTTTTTTAGTCAGAGGTTGGCATGACTTTCTCCAGAAAAAGGAAAAAAACCCCAATAAACCAAAACTGGAGAGCTCAGAGTCTCCCCAGGCACCAAAATGGCCATGCCACGGTTTGATAGCAGAACAGAAATAGAGAGAAATGTAAAAATAAATGCAAAAAAAGGGAGAAGATGCACAAGAAAACAACACAGGAACGGTGCTGGAAGAATCCTGGCAGTTCCCTGCTAGGGAAGCTCATCCCAGGCCAGGCAACACCAAAATTCTCTGGCACTGATAATGTCCTAAGGAGCATCAGGCTCAGGATAAACCCCCAGGAAGAAAAACCACCAGAATTCCCTGGAGCCTTTCACTGGGTGCTCCCTGATTTCCATCAGCCCCTGGAACAATAAATAGCATTTCTTTCCTTTGGATAACAACACCCATTATTGCAGGTGTTGGAAAGGCAAATATTCCCAAAGGTCACCCAGATATCCTTTCCTTGGGAATTCTGTGTCCCTGGTGCTCTCTGCTCCTCAAGGGCTTTCCCCCTTCTGCAGCAAAATCTCCTTATTGATCAGAAAACGTCTGCAAATATCAGAATTTTATTTTTTTTTCTTTTTTTACCATTTGAATATAGTCTCACTAAAATCCACTCCATTGATTTTAAGCAACAGAACGTTTATTTAAGACCTAAGAGCTTACTTCTAAATTGGAATTGCTATATAATTCTTTATAGATGGAAAACTCAGCAGAACCACAGCTGCAGATTTCAGAATTCCAAAGATTCCTAAGGATTTCTCTGTCCCACAAACACTTGGCCAAACAACCCAGCCTTGCTCATCTCCCACAACATTTCTCCCTCAGTTTCAGGGTTAAATGGATTTTAGTCAAAGCTGACCATGAGCACAAGGTAATAGATTTTATCCAAGGAAAAGCAGGGGGACTTATCCAGTTTGGTGACATTCTTGGTCTCTAAAATCATTGATCTCCATTGAGATGATTTCATTCCCATCAGAGGTTTCCTTCCTGCAGCAGAATTTCCCTGAGATATCCTTGAGTGACTTTACTCAGGGTTACAGAAAGGGGCTGAAAAATGAGAGAGGAAAAGCTCTGCTGGGAGTGCAGAAATGGGAATTTACTCAGGGTTACAGAAGGGGCTGAAAAATGAGAAAGGAAAAACTCTGCTGGGAGTGCAGAAATGGGAATTCCAGAGGCAGTGTGCCCAGCTGGAAGGGGAATGGGGGCTTCCTACCAAAAAATAAATCTTATTTTCTCCGATGTAAGGAATCTGGGCCTTAAATAGAACTCAGATGATGAAGCAGCAGCTGAATTTTGGGTGCTGCAGGTAAGAAACCCGTGGGCAGCAGGAGCTCAGCTCAGCACCTGGATGAGGCTGGGCTGCCCCTGGTGTTGGCTGTAAACACTGGGATTGTCATTTCTGAAGAGGTGTTGCTGCTGAAAATGTTGATTTTCCCTCCTCAGCCAGGGCAGAAGTGGGTGAGGCGGGTGTGGTACACGGCCAGGAGTTGTTGTGCTGTGTCCAAATCCAGCTGTTCCTTTCTCAGTGCAGGTTCAGCACAGGAGCTCAGTGTTTCAGTGATCTCAGTGAGGGAAATGAAAGATTTCTGCGTGCACAAACCTTGTCTGCAGCAGAATTTCCCTGCATTACTCCTGAGATAGCCTGCAGTGGTTTTACACTTCCTGCAACTTGTGCAGAGTTACAGAAAGGGCTGAAAAATGAGAGAGGAAAAGCTTTGCTGGGAGTGCAGAAATGGGAATTCCAGAGGCAGTGTGCCCAGCTGGAATGGGAATGGGAACAAAATGAGAATAAATTCCCATTTGTTCCCCCAGCTCCACAGGATGGGTTCTGCTTTCTCCTCACTCCCCCTGTTAGCCTTCAGAACACACAGAATCACAGAATATGATTCTCTGCAGGTGCTTTTATTGAGAGCTCTGGAATCAGGGGCACAGACCCAAATCTGACTCTGACACGGCTTTCGAGCTGAGACTATTTTATATTCTATCCTTACATAACTCACATATTAATTATTAAACTTATATTGTTCTATTGTATACATTGACTTTACTCAACCATGAGTTTCTCGTGATCTTTCTTAGGCCCCTGACCACACTTTCTCATGATTATTCTTATGATTAAACAGTAATTATATTTAATTATTAAACAATCATCACATCTAACAATTATATAATTTATCCTGTATTAGCTACACAGGTGCAGTTCTAGCAAGGTACAAGGTCTTCAAGTCCTTAGGGTATTTATTTTTTCAGGGCCTACTAAGCTTAATTTTCCTTTTAACCCTAAATCCCCATGATTTAAAAACCCTTTTAGTATCACCTCCTTTTCTCCTTCCGGAGCTCCACTCCTTGGACCCCCTGCAGGACCTTGTCTCAGGTGCCACATCACTGCTACTTGAAAAAAAGCAGCTAAATCTTTAAACTAAAAATCCTATTTTTTTTTTTTGTAAGTGGCTTTCCTCCACCATTCCTTTGGGTATTTTCATTTGTAAGTGAGAGTTTTCCTTTTTTAATTGAGGAGCTACGAAAGCTTTGAGCTGGGGACAAGGTGGGCATGGGGCCCAGCTGGGACTCCATGGGCTGGGAGGGCTTTGCCAGCCCCGGGGATCCTGGGCTTCTGTGGGGTTCTGCTCTCTCACAGCTCCTTTGTTATGTTTTGTTTGGTTGTTTTGGTTTTTTTTTTAATCTGGAATATGCTAATTCCATGTTCCCTAATGCAGCTTAAGAGGAACTGGCATTCCAAATTCCCTTCATAACTCGCTGGGTTGTTGTTGGGCGTGCTGGGGGCAGCTTTTCTGCAGGCTGGAGCGAGATGGGCTTCAAGGTCCCTCCCAGCCCAAACCTTCCTGAGGTTCCAAGGGTGGCTGAGGGAGCTGGGAATGGGCTCAGCCCGGAGAAAAGGAGGCTCAGGGTCCCTCATTGCTCTGCAGAGCTCCTGCCAGGAGGAGCAGGGAAAAAATGAGAGGAAATGGCCTCAGGTGGCACCAGGGGAGGCTCAGGTTGGAGATTGGGAAAGAAAATTTCCCTGGCAGAGTGGCCAGGTCTTGGGATGAGCTCCCAGGGAGGTTTGGAGTCACTGGAATTGTCCCCGAGGAGTCTGGATGTGGCCTTGGGGACAGGGTTGGGGTGATACTGGTGGGGCTGGATGCTCCCAAAGAGCTCTTCCCACCTTGGTGATCCTGGGATTTACACAACTGACAGATCAACATCCTTTTCCAGACTGATGTAAACCAACGGACAGAAATCAGTGATCAGAAATA